CGGCTAATTTTTTGTGTTTTTTAGTAGAGATGGGGTTTCACCATGTTAGCCAGGATGATCCTGACCTCATGATCTGCCCACCTTGGCCTCCCAAAGTTTTGGGATTACAGGCGTGAGCCACCGCGCCCGGCTGAAACCAGAATTCTTATCTAACCATGTTGCAGAGAGAACATTAACATTTCTTCATTTAATTGAGAGTTGATTTTGATCTCTGCAGTTTCTATTGCAAGAAGGCATTGCCTTCTCCAAGTGGCATCACAAGTGTCTGAGGGGCATGGTAACCTTTATTTCAGTATTGTGAGTGTTCTCTTTGTATACCTGTGCTTCGATAAGGCCAAGAAAATTAATATAAGCTCTGGGCCCTGCCTTTGAGTTAGGAGCTTTTGTCTGATGGGCTATTCTGCATTTGTCTAAACATTTGGTCTTTTTTCAGTGTATTTTTTGCTCTTTTATATTTAAACTAGTTTGACCAGGTGATGGCTGCCATAGTGAGGACTTGCTTTGTGTTCATGCTGTGCTCTATACATTTTCACAACCAGTCATCATGATCAAGAACTTTCTGTCTTCATGTTTTAGGTCGTAGTTCCCCCACTCCCTGGGAAAGCGTTTTTGCGTCAGCTTCCTTTTAGAGGAGATGATGGAATATTTGATGACAATTTTATTGAGGAAAGAAAACAAGGGCTGGAGCAGTTTATAAACAAGTAAGTGCTTCCTATTCCTCAAAGTGTAGCAGTGAGGTATGTTTTGAGACTACTTTAAGTGACTACTTATAGTTTAGATGTTAAGCTAAACTGCACTGTTGCCTTTTAGCCATTTCCTAACTTTTCATATCATTTAAACAAAGTAAAAGTATCTGACAAGTTGAATATCATGTGATAAATATTAACACACTTGAGTGATTGAAATGAGCATCTTTGTGTTGACCTAAGTTTTGTATTTGTTTTTCTTGGTTAATTTATGCAAATTACATTTAAAATTACGGCATTTAAAAAATACAGTTTTACTTATGATTCTTTCTGATTTAAGGTATGTTCTAGCATGAACAATAAAACTTACAATATACTTGCAATCATCTTGTCTGATTGCAGATGGAGGTATTAGCATGTCTTGTATAAAGGTGCACATTTTTAATTTTCATGGTAAAATGTATTCTTTTAAAAATGTAAGAGGACTTAGGATTGTTTCTCTCTTACTTTAGAAACTCTTGATAAGCTCAAACCAATATTTTTAGCTTTTAATTTTATTCCCGTTTGAAATACAGCTATTTTGTAAAGTAATAGAAAGCCAAAGTGATAGAAAGATTTATGCCAAGAAAGACCTCACTGTAATTGTGCATTGGCCTTAAACTAGGAAAAGTAAATCAAATCCTACAGAATATGGTAATATGAGCTTACACTTTAAATTTTATCTAGTGATTTGAAGATGCATGAGTGGTAAACAGAAGAGAAAGGGTTACATAAAGCCCTTGGTTATCTACTGTAGCACTCAATCTTCATTGTCT